ACGCTGCAAAAAGTCTTTCCCTTAACGGCAACACCGACCTCCACAACACTTGGAAAAACGCTGCAAAAGGTCTTTTGCAGCGTTTTTTGGCCGCTGCAAAAGCCCTTTTTTGGTGTAGTGTTTTAGCTAAAGAAAAATGATATTTTCAAACTCTACTGGTAATCTCTCTCCAATAATATTTCTATATTTTACTATGTTAGTAAATTCAACACATTAATTAGGCATAATCAGTTGGAGACTGTATAGGTGGCGGGAACAGTAATTTAGTGCGGGGAAGACCTAGATAGATTATCCCAACTTATGTGTATATGACTTTTCTTCATATATGTCTACAACAACTTGTCATATTGTCTTCTGAGTTCTAACTCTAAACACATTTTTAAAATTGGAACATGCCAGGGCGATAACTCTTTAAGAGTACGGAATTCACAAATAACTTCTAGGTGTCTCTTTAAATGCGATAAGACCACAAAAAGGTGAACCCATTATGAATACACACAATCAATTCTGAATAGATACATTGGAATTCATAAATTGAACTCATTTCATTCAAATTATTTCATCCCAAATCAATTCAATTATATTAATTTCCTATTCATTCTCTCTAAAAATTCTATCAAAATAATTTTCATGTTAATTTTTGAGTTTTAAATTCGGCAATTTGTTTTCAAGATTTTAAGAGCTTTTAGTGTTCAATATCTTACGGCCAAGAAGAGTACAATCAAGTTGTGGTTCACCTAATAAGATTATTATTGTGGTATTTTAATTTCAGAAGTAACGCTTATATCTTGGGAGACATGCTTCCATTAAAATATGTTAGCAACAAGTGCAAAAAGTCAAAATTTGCCTTGAGGAGAATTGCAGAGCATACCTCACTTCAAAATCTTGTACTTCAAATTTTTTTTTCTTCTCTTGATTGTCATAGTTGATTTTCTAATAACAAACTTAAGACAGATTCTTCTACATTTCCTTCTCCTATGTTTGGGAGTCATTAATTATGGACAGTGGCAGACCCGGCCGCCCTAACTTTTTCAGCAACCGGATACTATATGTGGCTTAAAAAAAAAAAAAGAAAGTAGGCCAATTATTTGGCACAAACTGTATGATAGAAGCCCCTGCAATACATTACAATACCAAGAATCCCAATTGGAAAGCATCCACGCACATCCCGACTCCGGACTCCCAACAGAGAATTGAAAAAAAATTGAATTGAAATTCCCAATTTCCACCAAAACAACAAGGTTCCAAATTCATGAAATCGATGAAATTGAATAAGTGAAGCCTTGGGCATCAATTAAAGGAGGTAATTATCGGACAATTTTTTGTAATTTCTTCTTTTACCCCGTCGTTTGATTGTATCTCCCTAATTTATCTTCAACTATATGAATAACTTTTTCACAGTTTCAGCATCATCGGGACTAGGGGTGGGCGTGAGTTGGGTTGGATCGATTTTTACCCAACCCAATATGGTCGGTTTGATCAAAAATCAAACCAACCCAACCCAACCCATTTATGTGTTCCAACCATACCCAATCTAATTTCGGTCGGGTTAGATTGAGTTGGTCAGTTTGGACATTAAAAATCATAAAAGTATATTCCGACAATAAAAACCTATCAACCACATGAAATGCATAAATAAAAAATGTTAAAGAACGAAAATAGAGGCATCTTGTACCTGTAATTAAAACTGTATTTGTTTTCAAATCAAAGCTTAACAAGAAATGAGAAAGATTAATAAAAAATCCACTACAACAACTTTTTAATAGTATAACCGCAAGTTAAATTATAAACTTGGAATAATCAAAGATACTCAGTACAACTTCATCAAGATTTTAAAGTGCAAATGTTCTAAAAGATTTTCACCGACAAATTTTAGCAATTAAGAAATTTACGAAAAAATACTTTCTCATTTCTTGGTGAGAAAATAAGAGAGGTGGCGGCGAGTGGAGTGGGACTATGGGGGAGAGAGAGAGAGAGAGAGAGAGAGAGAGAGAGAGAGAGAGAGAGGGGATTATTAGGTTAGAGTTGTGTAATTGTGTTTTGTAACTTGTTTGTCACATGACTTTTGTCTTTTGAAATGTAGTTGCGTCTTTTTTTTAACTAAGTGGGTCGGGGTTGGGTTAAATCGGTTTTCTTGGATTAACCCGTGACCCGACCCGCCTTCTTTGCCGCCGACCCAAACAGATCAGTTTGGGTCGGTTCTGGCGGTTTAGGAGGGTTGGTTTGGGTTTTGTCCACCCCTAACCGGGACTTTGTAGTTACTTGAATGTTGATGCTCATGGTGGATTGGTGGTCTGAAGAGTGAAGACTGAACCACATAACCAGGCCTAGCAGCGTTTGGTAGTCGGTAGGTGAGTTTTCTATTAGTATTCATCTGGTTATGGTTAAAACTGGTTATAGTCATTTCAATATAGATTTTATCATGTCCAAACAAAGAGGTTTGGAGTGAATGTGGAAGAGAAAGAGGTGTCCTCTTTGGTTGGAGTGAATGTGGTAGAGCACAAGGTGTTTCTTTAGCAACTGATTTGAATTGTGAAATCGAGCGATATCTATTGAATTAATTAAAATTTTCTTAGGATTGATTTGATTAGAGTAGATTTTTGGATACCAATGTTTCTGAAAGTCATGAAGAGGTTGGATGGGTGAAAGAGGTCATTTTTGTTCAAGGTTGGAGATTGAAACCGGTGCAGTTGTGTTGTAGATCTGGAGACTGGAGCATTCCAAATTTTGTCTCTTTTTAAAATTTCGAGGGAAGTGGTTGCCTTTCTAGAATAATTATTCAGAGGTTTTTATGTGAAGGAAAAAGACGGACAATGGAACAATGAAGCACCAAGTGCCATGGACTTGAGTTTCAGATCAACTTGTTAAGGAGGTTTGGTCTTTGGATATTGGGAATTTGAAAGAGAAATAGGCAAGTGGTTCTTGTGATTCCTGTTGGAACAAGTATCCTTTGACTATAACCAGTTTCGCTATTAGTAGTCACATCGCGATTCCACATTTTATTTTGTTTATTTACATTCCAATTCATATTTATTACAGTTAGTCATGGAAAGATTTTATAAAAGAAAACCTCTTGAGATTGCGGAAATGTTAATGAGGAAACGTCAAATGGAGACGATTTTGATATTGCACAACTTCCCACTGATCCTGGATTAAGGACTCTAATCTTCAATTAGAATTTTAACATTAGAGATCAAGTTCGAAGAGCATATATGCAAAATAGTCATTGTGAGCCGTTTAGCCATGAATTTAAGAAAAGACAATTTGGAGAAAAAGAATCTAGACGATTCAATCCTTCTTGATTTAACAAGTTTGATGGTTGGTAGGAGTATAGTGGGCAAAAGAGACAGTTTTTTTCTTGTATTGTTATCTTTTTAAAACAAGTAATGGGAAACAAGGTGGATGCGACTCATTTATTGGTGAATGATTCACGTATTGGAAAGATAAAAAGAGGCTTGCTACTCATCTTAAAAAGCATAAGAATTCACATAATCAAGCTCACATTAAGTGTGAAACTTTGATAAATCAAGAACAACACATTCAAACGGTTTTCTTCAAGTAGTCAGAACAAATGAGAAATGAGTATCGTGTCCATCTTATTACATCAATTGGTTGTGTTCGAGTTTTGTTGAGACAATGGTATTCATTTCGGGGCCATGATGAATCTAAAAATTCTCAGAATCCAGGTAACTTTCTTGTCCAATTACAATTTCTGGTTGATCATAATCATGAGGTTAAGGCTGTAACATTTGAAAATTCACCCCAAAATTGGAAATTAATATCCCCTAAGGTACAAAAGGATATACTACGTGTTTGTGCTACTGAAACGATAAATGTTATTATTAAAGATGTTGGTGATTCATTATTTTCTATCTTAATTGATGAATCTCTTGATGTGTCAACAAAGGAACAAATGTCAGTTGTGTTACATTATGTGAAAAATGGGCGTGTAAATGAACATTTCATTGGTCTTGAACATGTGTCCACTCCCACAGCTATCTCACTCAAGGCTGCTATTGATAATATATTTTCTAGATATAACTTAAGCATTTCCAATTTGCGAGGACAATGTTATTGTGGGGCAAGTAATATGTAAGGTCGGTTGAATGGTCTCAAATCACTCATTTTAAATGAGAACCCTTATGCCTTTTACATTCATTGTTTTTGTTCATCAACTTCAACTACCTTTTGTAGCTGTGGCAAAGAAGAATATGTCGATTACTAATTTATTTCGTATGGTTACAAATGTGGTAAATAATGTTGGAGTATCGTCTAAACATTGTGATCTTCTTCGAAAAAAATGATCAGATTTTATTGTTGAGGCATTGGAGAATGGTGATATTTTAAATGAACGTGGTCTTAATCAAGAAACCACTCTTTAGCTTTCAGGTGATACTCGTTGGGGATCACATTATAATTCTTTGGTTAGCTTGATTAGCATGTTTACGACTGTTATTGATGTACTGAAATAATTGTGGAAGATGGATCAAGTGCTTGAGATCAAAAAAGTTATGCATTCAATTTATTGGAGTCAATACAATCGTTTGATTTTGCATTTAATCTATATTTGTCAAAGGCTTTACAAAGAAAAGATCAAGATATTGTCAATTCAATGGACATGGTGAAAGTTTGCAAAAAAAGACTCCAACTTATGAGAGATGATGGGTGAGATTCTTTCTTGCAACATGTTTCTTCTTTTTGTGAGCATCATTATATTGATGTTCCAAACATGAATGCTATGTTTATACATTCTGAACATGGTCGCCATCATCGTAATCTTCCACAAATGACCAACTTGCATTACTTTCGAGTAGATTTATTCTATTCTGTCATAGATATGCAATTTCAAGAATTGAATAATCGTTTCTCGGAGGCAAATACTGAATTACTCCTTTGCATAGCTTGTCTGTGTCCACAAAATTCATTCTCTACTGTTGATAGAAGATAGTTGATTCAACTTGCTAAGTTTTATCCACAAGATTTTTCAGAAGTAGATTTCTTCACACTTGATGATCAACTTGATAATTACATTTTTTATTTCATCTCTAGCAAAGAGTATGAAGAATTTTATAGTCTCAGTGCTCTCGCACAGAAGTTAGTTTTCACATATAAGAACAGAGCATATACAATGATTTACAAACTTTTGACTTTGGCACTAATTCTTCCAGTTGCTACTGCTATGGTAGATAATCACATAACTCACAGAAGATGGAAGCTATAAATACTTCACTGGAATTGTTAGAACGAGCAAAATAACTCACTTTCCGACATTGACAGCTGCAGATTTATGCTGATATCAATCTGTCTTCATCGAACACAAACAAATGCAAAAAATCATTTCACGCCACAAATAATGAAATTTGATGCTGGAGAAAGAATGTCAAAAACAATTTCTCAGGCAAGTTGCTCAACAAAACCAAACTTCAGAAGAAATTTCTTCTGGTTACAGTCCAGCATTTCACTCAAGCTACAAGTTAGATTCTTTTGCTTCAAAAGTCTTTGCCTCAACTCTAATCTTTTCTTCAAACCATGCTTAAAGAAGTCGGGATATTCAGCAGCTTCATCAATTCGTCTTCCCATCACTTGTTCCAAAAACTTAATCCTCGGTCCTAAAGAATTAGTTGTACTCTTAATCAAGACAAGAGGGTAACCAGCCACCAAAGCTGCTATCTGTCTCGATTCAAACCCATGCGTCCTTAGGTATGTAACATTAGGACTCAGAATCTTGTTGGCATCTCGGCATAAAACTTCTGGGAAATTTAATGCTACATTTTGAAGGTGAGTTTCTGTAAGACCTAATGATTTAAGAAAATCTAAAGTTGGTTGCAACCTTTTTTCGACACTATAACCCATAATGAATGGGTGTTTGACCAAAACTTTACCAATTGTCCCATCTTTGGACAGGCCTAGACTTGCAAGAAAATCCACTATCTTCGAAAGTTTTTTTTCAATGCTGTAACTGATGATTCTTGGGTTTAGAAGTATCATCTTTCCCACTTGCTTTTCGGATGCACCAAGAGCTTCAAAGAAAGCAAGGAGTGGGCAGAGCTTCTCTTCCACACTGTGGAAGAGAATGTGAGGAAATTTAGTTATGGAAGAAGCAACCTCCTTAGGCTTTGTCCCTAATGTTGCGAGGCACGAAACCATTGGAACCAGTTTTTCGTGCAAGTCGAGAGTTAGAATTTTCGGACACTTCCCAACAACGGCAGGAAGTTTTCTCTCTTGAATGCCTATGCTTTTCAAGTAATCCCAGTTTTCTGAAGCTTTCTCCCTTTGCACGTCCTCAAGGCGCTTGCACTTCTTCAACATTTCATGTATACTTTTATTGTCAAAACCCCTGTCTCTGAAAAACCACATAATGCCACCACTGTTGCAGTTTGTTTCCATATTCCCTGATAGGATTTCGACGAAACATCATCTCAAGATAACATCTTTGAGCAAATATCACTAAAATTAGATACAAGCATGAGATAAATACTCGTATAGTTGTAATAAGCGCAAATAATTTATTGATAGGTAATCACAACAATGAAAGAAGCCAATAAATTTGGAGTCGGGCTACATGAATCCTTCTTCGTCATTCGGCTCTATCCATTGCTATATCTTCAAGGAGATCTATAACAACTAGGATCTTTAGAAACTATAATAGGGTAGCTCTGATCAATAAAAGCTTCACTTTAGTACTCAAAAAAAGGTTGTAGCAAATGAAAAGTGAGTGGGGTATTTATATCACTCAAATCGGCCAAAACTCTGTCCATCCGGACAAGGCATACAAACGTTAGGATCGTGTAATCAACTAGCCGTTTGAAGATGTCAGAACGGTAAAAAAAGTGATCGTTGGTGGCTCATCCGGACGTCCACATGGGGATTTGGCCCCCAGACGTTTTCTTGCATGATTTTTTGTTTGATGTATTTTCTTGAAGTACTCTCTCACATATTATTTTCAAGGTAAGTGACTCGATAAATATTTTATGCAATCATTTGATTTGAAAATAATATTTCTTATGCATAAAATTTACTTTGAGCTCTTAGTGATCATTTGCCAAGTATTGAAACATTTTACCTTTACATGAATGTAAAACATCTAAGTACAATGTTTTGAACATCTTGGCGTGCATTGCTTGATCATTCATCGACTTTTGTCTCGATTCTTTTTTAGGCTACTTTTCGCAGGTTTCAATATTGTTCTTCATACCCTTGATTTGCGAATTTGTTTCCATGTTGATCTTCGTGCGCAAATTACTTGACCTCAAACTTCATGTTATTGACTCTATACAATAATCACTATAGACACCTGAAATCAATTTGTTAGAGACAAGAAACAATTTCTTTCTGATAATCAAAACGAGACGTCAACCATAGGTCAACAATTTTCCCTTTTTTGATTATGACAAACAAGAGATAATTTGCAATATAAGTATCGAACAAATTGTTATATGTTCCCCCTGTCGAATGTCCCCCCTATCGATATGCTATATATTCATAATCATGTATAATTATCAGTATCTTCCCCCTTTTGGTATAAGCAAAACAAATACAATTTGAAGAGATAAGTAATTTAAAAGACATGCAATCAACATTCAAAAATCAACATACTAGTCAATCCATAGGAGTTCACATACATAGAAAAAGATAAACATAGACAAAATGTAAAGGGCTAAAGGAGCTAAGGTACCGGAGGCAGAAAGCAAGCATTGAGGGTAGTAAAGAAAGAATCCTATCGTTCCTGGAGGGCAGTCTGCTATGCCTAAAGCTGAAGTAGCAAACTCCCAAAGCTATAGACGGTGGCAGTGAGAGAATCGATGCGCTTGTGAAGGAGGTTGAATTGTTCTTCTATGAAGGAGTGATCAGTGGATGGACGGTGTGCACTGGATACAAGAATGTCAGCAGGAGGGATAGGGGCATCTTGAGGGTCGCCTTCAGATTCATCCTCGAAGGGTAGAGTCGAGGGGCTGGGGGTAGCATCAAATCCCTTAGTTCTAGCTGCCCATTGCCCATGATCCTTAACTATTCTCATCCGCTTGAGGGTTTGTATATTAATGACATCGGTAGGGTATGGTTTAATAGAAGTTTCACCCTCAAGTGGAACGTCGAAATATTGAAAAAAAATTTGTTAGAAGCCTCCCGTAAGGTAGTGCTTTAGTATGTCGTGATGCATGCACAAGTTTCATAACTCCTATAGCAATAGTAGGAAAATCTAATTTTCGCCGAACCAATATATAGTCCACAAGAAAGAGATCAAAGTTACTCACTTCATCTCGGTGACCTTTGCGTGGAAAAATGATGTTGGAAATAATATTTTGCAAAATTTTACACGGGAGATTTTGTTGGTTGGCGCTAATTTTGGTGATATTCTCATTTTTTTCGGGTAACCCGATGACATGCCTCAGAGGTGTTATAGCCGTCGCAAGTAGGATGTGCTTTGTGAACAAAAATTTGTACGTCACACGGTTGAAGTTCAAGAAGCTCACGAATGAGCGATTTTGTGATTTTGATGCGAGTGTTTTTAAGAAAACACGCCATTGTGTCGGAACGTGGCTCAGAATGCATGTCTTTGTAAAATTCTTTCATAAGGCGTGTTCCTCCAGGGTACACACGGATACCCATCCCATTTTTTTAAAAGTATTCTTCAAGATGAAAGGCGGGAGCTTCAATAGAAAAATCAGCGAAATCGACGCTCTTACAGATGAGAACGGGTGACTTTTCAAAGGGATTAGGCGATGCCACAGGTTCCAAATCCATGTCTTCCTCAGATGAAGATGGTGGAGGGCGTCTCTCGATTTTCTTCAATCTTTTGCCTCGTTGGGAGCCCGACATTGTGAGAAATTTGGGTGAAAAACTCGAATGTCAAGGAATAGGGTTTGAGTTACGTTTCTAAAATCCCAAAAAAAAAAATAAAAATAAAATCAAGTGTGAAATATAGGTAGGTAGTGATTGAGTGATGGATTTTCACAGTTTAATTTTAAGGAAGTTGTGGAGAAATCGTAGGTTTCAACTAGGGCTTCGAATGAAAAAAAAAAGGGCGATTTTGAAGCGGTTCTTACAAGAAACTTTGAGATTTGGGGTAAAAACTTATAGATTTTGCAATGAAAAGAGAATTGGATTGGAAGGTGACTGTTTTGAGTGATTTTGAGCCGTGAGAAAGAGATGAAGAATTGGAAAGAAAATACCAAAAAGTAGTTAAAAACGCCTCAGATCCGACAATCCGGGCGTTGGGATCATCATCCGAACGTCTAGATGTCTGTCCATCCGAACATAGGTTTTCGAACGTTCGGACGAATTAGAGGTTCGTCCGGATGGCCTATTTTGAAATTTTGTTTAAAAAGTTTTGTTCATTTTTACATATCAATTTCGTTAATAATGTCTAGTCCTCTTCTAATATGTGAGAAACGGTCTAAAGCGAGAGGTTTGGTGAAGATGTCAGCCAATTGATTTTTTGTATCGACGAATTCAAGCAAGATATCCCCCTTTTGAACATGATCCCGAAGAAAATGATGTCGTATTTCAATATGCTTAGTTCAAGAGTGCAAAATGGAATTTTTGGACAAGTTAATGGCACTAGTATTATCACACATAATAGAAATATGATCGTAGGATAAGTAATAATCATTTAAAGTTTGTTTCATCCAAAGTACTTGGGCACAACAACTTGCAGCCGAGATATATTTGGCCTCGGCCATAAATAATGCTACCGAATTTTGTTTATTACTAAACCATGATACTAGAGCAAAGCCTAGAAAATGACAAGCTCTACTAGTACTTTTACGTTTAATTTGACATCCGGCCCAATCGGCGTCCGGATAGCTAAGTAAATCAATGTGAGTATTTTTTGGATACCAAAGTCCTAAGCTTCGAATCCCACTAAGATATTTAAAAATTCTTTTCACAGCTTTAAGATGTGATTCCTTAGAATTTGATTGAAAACGAACTCACAAGCATACACTAAATATAATGTCTGGCATACTTACAGCAAGTAAAGAAGAGATCCGACCATACCTCGATATTTGGTGACGTCAACGGAGATTCCTTGGATCATCTTTGTCGAGCTTTGAGGATGTGCTCATAGGAGTGCTCATAGATTTTAAATCACTCATTTCAAACCTCTTCAACATGTCTAATATATACTTACTTTGATTGATGAATATGCGATGACATGATTGGTTAATTTGAAGTCCGAGAAAAAACCTAAGTTCTCCTATCATGCTCATTTCAAATTCCATACTCATATTTCTCGAAAATTCTTTACATAGATAAATATTTGTTGCTCCAAAAATAATATCATAGACATAAATTTGAACAATGAGCATGCATTCTTTATGGGTTTTAATGAAAAGAATAGTATCTGCCTTACCAATAGAGAAGCCATTTGAGAGTAGAAATTTGCTCAGGTGTTCGTACCAAGCTCATGGAGCTTGTTTTAGACCATAGAGAATTTTTCTAAGTTTAAAAACATGGTTTGGAAATTTATGATTTGTAAAGCCGGGTGGTTGTTCAACGAATACTTCTTCTTGAATGAAGACATTTAAAAATACACTTTTCACATCCATTTGATAAAGAGTAAAGTTTTTGTGACATACAAATGCAAGAACCATGCGAATGGATTCTAACTGAGCCACGGGTGCAAAAGTTTCTCATAGTCAATACATTCTTCTTGATTGTAACCTTGGACCATTAATCTAGCCTTGTTACGCACAATGATCCCATTTTCATCTCTTTTGTTTCGATAAACCCATTTAGTACCAATAACGGTTTGATTTGTTGGTCTAGCGACCAAGTCCCAAACATGATTTCTCTCAAATTAATTAAGTTCTTCTTGCATCGCTAAAATTCAAAATTCATCAAATTCCTCTTCTTTAAAATTTTTGGGTTCACTTTGTGAAATGAATGCACAAACTACCAAGATAATTTCAAAGAGAAGTTCTAGTAATTATACATTTTGATGGATCGCCAATAATTAACTCCTTTGGGTGAAATGAGACAAACTTCCATTCTTTTGGCAATTAGAGTCGCCTAGAGCTTCGGTTGGCATTTCTTCTATTTCATGATTGTTGAGCTCTATTGATTGTTTTTCCTTTGGTATTCCTTTGTCTTGGATATTCTTTCTTTTGGCAATGTAGAGTCGCATTGATTCTCGTTTAACTTTTCTTCTTTATCTTGATCGTTGGGCTCCTTCAATTGTTCTTCATTTGATACTTCTTTGTCTTGAATATTCATTTGTTCAAAGGGGGTTTCCAAATCTACATCATCAATACCTTTCTCTCAATCAAGAAGATTAGTCTCATTAAATGTAACGTGCATAGATTCTTCAACGACTAGAGTTCTTTTGTTAAAAACTCTATATACTTTGCTAGTCGATGAATAACTAAGAAAAATTCCAATATCGGCTT